ATCAATTTCCCTTGTGGGGACCATTGGCTAGTCCTCACAATGTAGGTGATTTCACGTTTTACTATTCTTGTGGGGACATTTGGTCCTCACAATGTGATAAAAACAAGAGCACACACACACACACACAGTTCTATAATTCTATATATGTCTGTATTTACTTATATTCTCTATATTTCTCTTTTACTTTGCACGGAAGCATTAATTTGTTTAAAAGTGATAGTAGACATTTATAATGGAACAAAATATTTCCATTTAAAACGTTTTTTTAAATTAAATTTTTCTTTAGAGAATCCTGAAAAAATCGTTTGCAAAAAAATATTAAGCAGCACAACTGTTTTCAACATTGATAATAATAAGAAATGTTTCTTGAGCAGCAAATCATCATATTCGAATGATTTCTGAAGGATCATGTGACATTGAAGACTGGAGTAAATTACATTTTTAAAATACATTAAAATAGAAAACAGTTAAATTGAAATAATAATTCACAATATTACTGAACAAGGTGGTCTCGGCTCGATCGAGCAATCACACCAGGGTTCGTTGTAATCAAACCAAACATGCCAGAACACACACACATGTTGACTGTGTTTCTGTCTCCAGCTGTATGATGAAGCGGAAGCAGTGTTGACTAAACCATCACAACCTGTTCCGGTGGAGACCGCAGAGTCTTGACACCTCCGTCAGCTTCCCCATCCCTCCATCATCCCACCTCCCATACGCCACAGAGACACACAGTTCATTGAAAGTGGATGGAGGAGAGGAAGGAAGCGATTACAGGAATCCTGAAACGAGCCCTGGACTTCAGACCGTGTTTCTGAACGAGGAGCAGTTTACCAAATAACGTCTTCAGACTGTGAAACAGGTGAACCGGAAACAAAGACTCGTTTTTAATAAAGAAAAAAAAATGCTGTTGACACTTTAAGAGCGCTGGATGCACCGATGAGAAAAACGTTTCTCTGCACTAGTGTGTGTGTGTACATATTCCTGCCATGCCAATGTTTCAACATATCACCTAAACACTACAAAGAATTCTGTGACGGCTTTGGATTGAGTGCAAATGCTTTGACTATGAATTTAGGACTTCCAGAAGAGAGAGAATGGACGAAACGTTGATTACATTTGTACTATTTATTAATTTCTCTTCTTTTTTATGCGTGTTGGGATTTTTTATGACCTCCAGACAATCAGAATTCAGTGTTTTGGGGCGTAGTGTCGGACATTCGATCCTTAGCGTCACGCATCTTTTGTTGGATATCTTGTCATCCGCAAACCTCTCAGAAATACTCTTGCAGGAAATGATCCTCCAATAAAATGCAAGCAAACAGCATGTGAGCACTGATACACACACACACTCCATCACAGAGCTGCTTTGAATGATAATAGTGCGGGTGTTTTCACCACCTCCAGGGTGAATCTCATGAAAGCTGTCATGTGCAGGTCATTTCTCATTACTATGAAGCGGAATTATGTGAGAAATGTGCTTGATTATCATAAAATTGTGTCATAATACAAAGGATCGTAATGGTCCGAAACAATAATTGCATCTTTTTTTTAATCTGATTTTGGAGTCAAGTGAGATTCAACCCAATAATTTGGATCGGACGAACAGCGTATAACGTTTGCAGACTCATTCTTCATATCTTACTATGCCGGTTCAGTGCTGTGGTCTCGTCTCTGATCTGATCTGATGGGAATCGGCGTTTAGTTTGACTCTGACCTACAGGAAATGAAACCAGATAAACATAATCATGCATGGTATCATATCAACTTATGTGCGATGTACCGAACCTTTGGCATAGTATTGATTACAACAGTAAATCATTTTGAGTGTGTAAACAGTTCGGCTGCATTGATTCCCAATATAAGTGTGTTTTTGTGCATACTATAGTGAATCTCTGGTCAAGAACATCCCTCTATTATATTTAATATTTTTGCATTAAAAAAATGAAGCCTATTTTAGGACCATTCATATTTTTTACGTGACAATTAAGCACATTTCCTTTACAAATTCTGATTGTGATGTGGAAAAAATAGTTTGTACAATATTTATTCACATCATCGTAGTATTTCTTGTAATGCTTTATTGCTGATTTAATTTTTTTGCTTTGTATTACAGTAATGAAAATCACTTGAGAGTAATGGAAATTTCGATAGGATTTGCTTTTTTGGGGGAGCAAAATGTGCTAAATTATCAAATTAATAGTTCTAAAAACAGGTTTAATTGTCTTTATGCAGAATATATACTTTTATTTTTTTATTATTTTTTTATTTTTGCATTCTGAAATTTTCAGGACGATTAAGCACGTGATTAAGCACTGTGACGACAAATTAATTGGTAATAATATTTATACACATCATAGTAGTATTTTTGTACTACCTAACCTTGATGCTGATTTAATTTTTTTTAAAGTACATATATTTTTTTTATATATATATATGACAGTAATAAGAATAATGGTAATTTCAATGGGATTTAAATTTTTCTGGAAGCAAAATGTGCTTAATTGTCATGACAATAATGTCACAATGTAAAATAATAGTCAGGTTTAATTTTCTTTATTTAAAAATATATACTTTTATTTTAATTTTTCTTGTTTGTTTTTTTGCATTCTAAAAAGTTTCATGAAAATGAAGCACATTTCCCTTCTAATAAATTATTTTGTCTGTAATGTGACAAAAATATTAGAAAAATACATAATAGTAGTATTTGTTTTAGTGCCATGGTGCTGATTTAATTTTAAAAATATATATAGTAATGGGAATTTCTTTGGGATAATTTTTTTTCTAGAAGCAAAATGTGCTTAATTGTCATGTCAGTGTCACAATGCAAAATATCAGTCCTAAAAACTGCTTTAATTTCATGTAAAAAAAAAAAAAAAACTGTAGTTTATGTATTTGTTTGTTATTCAAGTCTATAGTCAAAATGATTTTCTGGTGTAATCGACAACATGCCACCAATGCGATTCATGAAAGTGTAACTTGTCGTACCAAAAAATATTCCTTTAAGCTCAAAGCACTGCTTTAGAAAGAGTTCAAGTATTAGCTTGACGTGTTGTCGTTTCCCTTCTCATTGCGTCTTTTAAATGCATTGACTCCCAGTGTTACCTGGTTTATCAAACCGAACCTGCACTGAACCGTTCGACGCGTTACAACACTGGCACAGAACTGGTCAAATGTTCTTTCCAGTTTTCCAGTCTCGTAGTTAGCCACAGTTTCTGCATTTGTGTTTTTATTGATGTTCTTGATGTTCAAAGCACTGATCCATCTTTCCTGTTCTCCCAAAATGATGTTTAGATTGCATGGTGAATTGACACAAATCCAGTTGCTTATTTATTAACTGCAAGACCTTTTGTTAATATGCGTGTCCCGTCACATCGTGTCCCAGCGCTGCTGCTACTGCCTTCAACTGACTGCGATTTGATTGGCTGAAGAGAGAGTGCCATGGCTTTTGCCTCTGCTGTGGATCTGTACCATAGTGGCGTGAGACAGAAAAGTAATGAAAAAAATATATATATTTATATTTTTCCTAAAAGATGACATTGCAAGATACGGTGTAATTTAAAGGAGTTGTTTTGTTTTGCCTGAATTGTGGTTTCCCTTGTAAAGTGTGTACAGTGTGTTTTTTTTGGGCACTTTGAGCTCTGGAAAAATCTTAGTCTTATCAAAGGGATGTGTAATTAAAGAGAGAAACTCGTGGAGTGGATCTGTGTCGTTTGAGCGTGTGCGGAGTATGTTCGAGGCACTTTACCTCTTCTGTAGGAGTAGATCAGTACTAGATTGTCTCAATTTCAGAAGACTCGCTGTCTGTAGAATCATGTATTTCATATGGAAAGCTAAGATTGTTGGCAGAATGAACAGTATAGTCAAATGCACATTGCCCTGAAGCGGTAACATTTTACCAGAAATAATTTGGTAACATTAGTTAATCCATCATGAACTAACAATGAACAATGCTTAAACAGCATTATTATATGCATTAACAGCACTATATGCATTTACACACACTACTGTTCAAAAGTTTGGGTTTGTGAGTAAAAAAAAAAGTATTTTATTCAGCAAGGACAAATTAAATGAATCAAAAGTGACAGTAAAGACATTTATAACATTACAAAAGATGAATACTTCAAATAGATGCTTTTAAACTTTCTATTCATCAGAGAATCATGAATAAAATAACACAGTTTATCTACAAATATATAAAGCAGCACAACTGTTTTCAACATTGATAATAAGAAATTATTCTTGAGCAGAAAATCATCATATTAGACTGATTTCTGAATGATCATGTGACACTGAAGACTGGAGTAATGATGCTGAAAATACAGCTTTGATCACAGGAGTAAATTACATTTTAAAATATTCAAATATAATATAGAATATTGTAATAATATTTTACAATATTACTGTTTTACTGTATTTTATCAAATAAATGCAGCCTTGGTGAGCATAAGAGACTTCCTTTAAAAAATGTTGAACAAAAACAAAATGCATTAAATCCCCAGTTTCACAGACCAGGTTTAAGTCTAGTCCAGACTAAAATGCATGTCTGAGCTGTTTTAACTGAAAGCAACTTGCATTGACATAATACAATACGTCAGTGCCATTGTTTTGTCTCAAGATGCACACCAGTAATGTTTTTTTCTAAAGCACGTTTATAAAAGCTACTGAATGTCCTAATTGAACTAAGGCTTAATCTAAGCCCTGTCTGTGAAACCAGGCCAAATAACGGTAACCTAATCCTGAAGTGTTACCATAACACCCAGTCCCTCAAGACGAGAGAGAACATTTTGTACTTTCTGACCAGAAAGGTCTACCGTAACATGCAAAACACAGATAAAGTACCTGAAAGATATTGCAAAATCTCAAGTGACATGCATTGCAAGATCGCATTTCACAACACTTGTGTCTTTAAAGGCTGTTTTGCAGAAGGAAGAGGGGCCCTGATGCTGTGATCTTATCTGAACATATTTGTGATAAGATCCACAGTGCTGGATTGCTTACTTTGGTGTGTATAGAATATCACATAACTGAGTTTTCGTGGCTACAGAAGTGACATAGCCACTTGAAAAGCCTGAGATGTCAGACTCCTGTCTTGTGGCTTCTGTCTCAGGGGTCTCCAGCAGCTCTGAAGGCACGTCTTGCTGCACAGAGTACATGTATGTGAAGTTTGTGAGACCTGCGGTGGGATGGTATGATGGTGTCAGGAACGAGTGCGGCGTGACTTTAGGGCCAATGAACGAACAATTCGGATCCTCTGCGCTCGCTAACCAGGTTTTCTCTGCCACGGTGGGCGGCAAAATCTCGACGTCACACCATTGGCAGTCCTCTGTCCTCAGAGAATGGATTTTTTCACTCGCCTTGAAAAGAACAGAAAACTGTCAAAAATTGTAAAGAAAAGAAATACTGGGTAAAAAGTTTGGGTAAAACTTTACAACAAGGTTTCATTACATAGTGATAGTTCACCCAAAGATGAAAATTCTGTCATTACACTTTCGTGTCGTTGCAAACCCGAAAGACTTTCGTTCATCTTCAGAACACAAATGAAGATCTTTTTAAAATCCGAGAGATTTCTGTCCCTCTGTTAACAGCTACGCAACTACAACTTTAAAAGCTTCAAAAAGTTCATATAGAAACCGTAAAACTAATCCATATCAATTGATCGGTTTAGTCTGCTGTCAGGCCAGTAGTTGGCGATTTCATTTTGTAGAGAAATACTACTACGCGCCTATAGTCTGAACACATAATACACGACGTCATCTTTTCACAAATTCACATTTTTATAGTTTACATGGAGAAAACATGGGGCATTTACATGACACTGTTTTCAACCCCAAAAAATGTACCAATTTTTATGCGTTTTGGCAGTTCATTTACACGACAACAAAGCTTTGGGGGCCTGAAACGCAAACTTTTGAAAACGGGTTTCAACGTGCAAGTTTGAAAAATGCAACGGAAAAAGTTTTCCGCTATTAGTAGGCCTACATCGTTATCGTGTAAACGTACCGTGAGAATGAAACGCGTTATCAAATGCTTGTGTTTTCAGGCCCCCAAAAAGCCATCGTCGTGTAAATTAATGGCAAAAATGCAAAGTGAACAGTGTTGTGTAAACGGCCCCTTAGGGTGAACAATGTTTTAAAAAGAACCGCACAAAGAGTTTTTAGGACTTTATAAAGAACCTTTTGTGCAATGGAGAGATTCCATGAATGTTAAAGGTTCTTCATGGAATCATCAATGCCAATAAAGCAAAGCATAAACTAACACTGACAAAGTAAAAAAAAAAATATTGCTCACTGTTAGTTCATGTTAGACAAATGACACATTATTGTGAAGTGTTACCAAAACTAGATTAACCTGTTAATGCCTGGTTCAGATTACACGATTTGTTTTGTCTGTTACGATAGTCACTGTGTCAGATTGCGCGATTTTGACTCCTAAAATCTTGTCGTGTCGTGGACAAGAAACATGTCAGACTACACGTTGCTTCCTGACCAGGCAGTGCGTGCTGTCTTTAACGACGCGCGTGATGTCATCGAGAAGGCGAAACTAGTAGTGAGTGACTTCCGGAAACTAACGTAAACAAACAATGGATGAAGCGGTTAGGCTTGGCTGTCCTGTGTTCAGAAAAACGTAAAAAAAGAAAGAAAACCCGACAATGGACACGTTCCTGGATTGCTTGAAGAGGACAGTATGGGCTGTCAATCCTCCAAAGAGAATATGAGGTAAAATATTGTTTTCTGTTACTGTTGCCACAGCTCCACGAACCTTTCCTCCATGTCATTACTCCACCTAGGAGCACAATCCTCTCTCTTTCGTTTCGCCATTTTTGAAAGTTGTGTACGGAAAAGCTTCTGTGCTCCTATTGGTCAACCTCATACATGTGACGGAACCCGTCGTGGACGACCGTTAAAAAAATTAAACAATAAACATGCTAGTCTTTTTGTCGTGATGTCGTGAAGCATCGCAGACGCGACGTATGTTGTCACCCACTATGACACACTATACGAGATGATACGAGCGAATCTTGCGTCCCGACGCCCGTTGTCGTTTGGGAATCCCCACGACACCCTACGTCAAATGGATCGTGCCAAAATCGGGCTAAAATCGTGTAATCTGAACCAGGCATAACTGTCACTCCCCTTTTTTTGAATATACATGAAAATGCACATTACGAACTTAGATGGTTGTAATTCAAGAATGCTTTGGAATATAGACGTAAGATTGGTCTCGTTTTAAAGAAGACATTTGGCAGATTTTTGTAGAAGATTTTTCTTATAAATTAAGAAAGTGAAACAGAAAAAAAAGTTATAGAAGTTTGAGTTTATGAAAATGTACTATGTAAAAAATGTAATTATTCATATTTTATATCAAATATATATTTTCAAAACCTGGGTGACTCTAAAACTGCACACAAAAAAATCAAAGCCAAAAATCTGAACAAGTTGTGTTTCAAATTTTAGGTTGATATCTCAAAAAATGAGCTTTCAGTGAGATTTTGTTTGTGCGCAGTACCAAACTTTTTCACTAGGTCAGACTCCATTACTGCCCATATAAGGGCGCCTCCATTTCCATATGTGTTTTGAGTGATCTGAACCATTATTTCCACAATTTTCATACAATTTATGAAGTAGACATCCTATTCAGAAGTAATATGAGAAGTTTGACAGATTTTCATATGAATTCAACCTCAAAGAAACATAAAAAGAACAAGTATGTGCGTTATAGCTTCCTGCCACATCACAAATGGTGAATCTATAATTTCTTTCTTTATATTTAAAAAAATTTCAGACCTTTTTTCTAAAATAATTGAAAATATGCTATCTTTTGAACTCTTGGCATGAAAACAAACTGAGGTTTCTACCCTTCTTTCATGATTTTTCATGTTCATCACTATTTCAAAATAAAGGTCTAAACACGCCTTAGGAGTATGAAAATATTCTTGTTGCAAATTGATAAATTATGGCTCCTCTGTAACTTATTTTGAAAATCAATCACCAAATATGGAAACTAGTGATTGTAAGCTTTCAAATGATATATAGTTTGTCAAGATTAGTTTAGGTTTAGTATAGGATATTACTGTTTTAAAAATGTAATGGATTTGGGCCCACCGGTGACACTTATAGATATAGATACTTTTTTTGTATTGAATGACATGTAGGTTTATTTATAATGGATTTTTCTCTTAATTGGTCCACCATTTTGGATGATTTTCACACTTTACTGAGTAAAAGGGCTCAAATAGAACATCACTTTGATCTATTTTGATCTGTTCTGAACCTGCTCACAAAAACAACAGCTTATCTAGCCTAAGATTGGTTTAAGATGATTTTCACACTTCTTCAAGCCTGTTATCTGCTGGTTTAGCTCACATCCTGAAAATTGCCCAAAACCTGTCTGAAACCAGCCATACAAGACAAGCATGGCCCTCATACAAGACCCTCAAATCAACTTATGCTGGTTTATCCTGTCAAAATAAATAGAGGCACTGCAGTTACATTATTGTACAGCGTCAATGTAATGATTTACTTCATAAAGATCATCATCCAGGTCCAGTGCTTTTATGTGCAGAAAGCCGAAGGTTTCTTTTGGAAATCCTCTTAGCCTGGAAAAGGTTGGTAAGAAATCATCAGCACGTCACAGATACGAACGTCAGATCATCAGCTCACAGCTAATATTATAAGACTTACGTGCTTCTGTTTGTCCACAGACAAATGCAACAACACACCAAAACCAGGAGAGGAATCAAAATCTTGGCCGTCATCAGGTAATCTGTGGAGAGAAATATTATCTCTTAATACAGTTCAACATTATGAAATGGCCTGCCCACACAAAAATATAGTTAATATAATGTAAGATAATGTATTTATATGGAGTTGTTTACACTTGGGCCAATTTTTTTAAATTTTGTACTTTTGTAGAACATTTTTCAAATATTAAAATAATCAGATTTGGTGTTTAGTTTTATTAATAGCATTAAAAAGTCTTTATCAGCAAAACGACTTCTATTTCAAAGGCTGTTCTTTTTGAACTTTCTATTCTTCAAAGGATACTGAAAAAATGTTTCCACGAAAATACTGTCTTCAACATTGATAATAATCAGAAATGTTTCTTGAGCAGCAAGTCATCATGTTAGACTGATTTCTGAAGGATCATGTGACACTGAAGACTGGAGTAATGATGCTGAAAATGCAGCTTTGATCACAGGAACAAGCAGCGAGATATATTAATATCTTCTTTTATGTTCCACAGAAGAAAGTTAGTCACACAGTTTTGGAATGAAATGAGTAAATAATGAATAGATGTAGAACATAAAACAGGACTGTCTGGTTTCTGTTGGTGTGAATGTGACGGATGGACTCACGGTTCTTTCTGGTTCTGAAGGTGGCGGTGGTCTCGGGTCCACAGCCTGCAGATGTACACGCTGCCAGGTGAAATGTGTACGGCTGCTCCTCCTCGAGACCACTCACTGTGAAAGACTTGCTGTGAGGATCGTCCACGAACCGTCTGAAGGAACCTGCCAGAACAAACCGGTGCGAGGGCGGGGAGTGTAGGGAACGGGTTAGTAATATAACATGAGGTTAAAATATGAGAGCATCAAATATGATCTATCAGGCTTTTGAGGAAGGTTTATCTCTCAATCATCGTTGTATCACATTGCACTATATGTTTAATAAAAACTACAGAGCTTTAATCATTAAACTAAGCATTTAAATAGCATCTCACTAAGACATTATTGGGAGATAATTGAGTAATTGATATAAGTATTTGTATTTATAAGTGGTCTGCTATACCGTTGTAAAGATGTCATTGATTTACATTACGAGCAAACCATGATTTAATCTTGTCCATATAAATATCAGCAAATGCATAAAATAATTTTTATCCTCAAGTATGAGCTTCATATTCAAACTATATCAAACTATATGAACCATAAAAGCCTGATATGGAAGCTTGTTTCCGCCACTGAATAAATTTTTTTTTTTTTTAAATTGCGACTTTTTATCTCACAATTGCGAGATATGAAGTCAGAATTGTGAGAAATAAAGTCACAATTGTGATATAAAGTCGCAATTGCGAGATATAAAGTCGCAATTCTGAGAAATAAAGTCGCAATTGCGAGAAAAAAAGACAGAATTGCGACTTTTTATCTCACAATTCTGACTTTTTTTCTCACAATTGCGAGTTTACATCTCGCAATTCTGACTTTATAACACATAATTGTGAGTTTATGTCTCGAAATTCTGACATCTTTTCTCAGAATTGTGAGATATAAACTCGCAATTGCGAGTTATCAGGCCAATTCTAAGGGGGAAAAAAGACTAACTTTTTTCCCCTCAGAATAGTTTATATCTCACAATTCTGACTTTATAACACGCAATTGCGACTTTATATCACGCAATTCTGACTTTATAACACACAATTGCGACTTTATATCAATCAATTCTGACTTTATATCTCGCAACTCTGACTTTATAACACACAATTGCGACTTTATATCACGCAATTCTGACTTTATAACACGCAATTGCGACTTTATATCACGCAATTCTGACTTTATAACACGCAATTGCGACTTTATATCAATCAATTCTGACTTTATATCTCGCAACTCTGACTTTATAACACACAATTGCGACTTTATATCACGCAATTCTGACTTTATATCATGCAATTCTGACTTTATAACACACAATTGCGACTTTATATCAATCAATTCTGACTTTATATCATGCAATTCTGACTTTATATCAATCAATTCTGACTTTATATCTCACAATTCTGACTTTATAACACACAATTCTGACTTTATAACACGCAATTGCGACTTTATATCAATTAATTCTGACTTTATATCTCGCAACTCTGACTTTATAACACACAATTGCGACTTTTTATCACGCAATTCTGACTTTATATCATGCAATTCTGACTTTATAACACGCAATTGCGACTTTATATCAATCAATTCTGACTTTATATCATGCAATTCTGACTTTATATCAATCAATTCTGACTTTATATCTCACAATTCTGACTTTATAACACGCAATTGCGATTTTATATCACGCAATTCTGACTTTATATCTCGCAATTGTGCGTTAGCGCGAGGGCGGGGCGGGGAGTGTAGGGAACGGGTTAGTAATATAACGTGAGGTTCAAATATGAGAGTATCAAATATGATCTATCAGGCTTTTGAGGAAGGTTTATCTCTCAATCATCGTTGTATCACATTGCACTATATGTTTAATAAAAACTACAGAGCTTTAATCATTAAACTAAGCATTTAAATAGCATCTCACTAAGACATTATTGGGAGATAATTGAGTAATTGATATAAGTATTTGTATTTATAAGTGGTCTGCTATACCGTTGTAAAGATGTCATTGATTTACATTACGAGCTATCAGGATTTAATCTTGTCCATATAAATATCAGCAAATGCATAAAATAATTTTTATCCTCAAGTATGAGCTTCATATTCAAACTATATCATACTATATGAACCATAAAAGCCTGATATGGAAGCTTGTTTCCGCCACTGAATAATTTTTTTTTTTTTTTGAAATTGCGACTTTTTATCTCACAATTGCGAGATATGAAGTCAGAATTGTGAGAAATAAAGTCACAATTGTGAGATATAAAGTCGCAATTGCGAGATATAAGGTCGCAATTCTGAGAAATAAAGTCGCAATTGCGAGAAAAAAAGACAGAATTGCGACTTTTTATCTCACAATTCTGACTTTTTTTCTCACAATTGCGAGTTTACATCTCGCAATTCTGACTTTATAACACATAATTGTGAGTTTATGTCTCGAAATTCTGACATCTTTTCTCAGAATTGTGAGATATAAACTCGCAATTGCGAGTTATCAGGCCAATTCTAAGGGGGAAAAAAGACTAACTTTTTTCCCCTCAGAATAGTTTATATCTCACAATTCTGACTTTACAACACGCAATTTCGACTTTATATCACGCAATTCTGACTTTATAACACACAATTGCGACTTTATATCAATCAATTCTGACTTTATATCTCGCAACTCTGACTTTATAACACACAATTCTGACTTTATAACACACAATTGCGACTTTATATCAATCAATTCTGACTTTATATCTCACAATTTTGACTTTATATCACCCAATTCTGACTTTATAACACGCAATTGCGACTTTATATCAATTAATTCTGACTTTATATCTCGCAACTCTGACTTTATAACACACAATTGCGACTTTATATCACGCAATTCTGACTTTATATCATGCAATTCTGACTTTATAACACGCAATTGCGACTTTATATCAATCAATTCTGACTTTATATCTCACAATTCTGACTTTATAACACGCAATTGCGATTTTATAACACGCAATTCTGACTTTATATCTCGCAATTGTGAGAAAAAAAGTCAGAATTGTGAGAAAAAAAGTCGCAATTACCTTTTTTATTTTTCATTCTGTGGCGGAAACAAGCTTCCATAGTATGAAGTATCAAATATGATACAAAACAAAAAACACATATACAAACTCTTTTTTAGATTTTGTCAAAAGGTTCAATTAAAGGTAAACTAACAAAAAAAACATGTAATTATTTTTATTTGTCTTGACTATTTTTTCCTATGTCAGGGTGAAGAAGCTCATGTTTTCATTCTCTTTTAAGGGCAACGCAACACTTACTGAGATCGGAGCCGGCCTCTGAATCTTCTTGTACCGTGATCACATATCCTGTGATGAATCCAGCGTGACTCGGATCCTCCTCATTGAAACTCCATTTCAGGTTTACAGATGACCAAGTTATGTTTGGGTTAGTGTCCAGTGTAGGGTACTCCATGGGCTCTTCAGAACACACACAAAAATTATATTTATGTTATATTGCATAATGCAGATGTGAAAATTGTCCTTTTGATGCATTTTTTCCAGTGCAACATAGCACCTACAGTGCAGTATAAGCACCTGTGTTTCGCTCTACTGTAATGTCCTATAGATGTGTAGCAGGTAAAGTGTGTGTGCACTCTTACCCTGTTCTTTTAAGTATCCGATCTGTTTCTCACGAGGTCGGTGTCCCTCAGCGCTACAGCTGTAGATAATAAATCTGTACTGAACTCCTGCTTTAAAATCTAAAAAATAAATAGTTTTACAGAGATTTTACACACAATAAAAAAAAAAATGTTTTCTTTAAAATATGAGAAGCATTAAAATAAACAACTAAAAATCGAAATATTTCTCATTTTTATTTACCCCCCTCAACTACTGTTGGTAACACTTTAGTTTAACACTGTCCTTGTTACATGTTACATGTACTTACCATAGTAATAACTAGGTAACCCCAAACCCTAATCCAACCCTAACCGTATAGTACGTACATGTAGTTAATTAATATTACTCAGTACTTAAATATATAATTACACTGTAACACTGACACCTTAAAATAAAGTGTAAACAACTGTTTAAAAAAAAAAATTTTATTTGAAGAACCATGGTCTAATTTTAAAAGTGTGATTTCTAAAACTGAAAAAGTCACGTAAATCTTAAAACTCCATGGGCAGTGTTATATATATATATATATAGATATATAGTAGCAACATTTTGGTTTTACAGATTGAACTTAAATTTACAGTAAAAAAAACTGATATAATGTTAATTCACCAACCTACTGAAGTGCTAAAATATCTTTTGCACATTTATAATATACTGACAACCACCAAAAAACACAAGTGCTAATGAGAAAACCATGCGACGAATCAAAGCTTATTATTATTATAATTATATGTAAATTATAAGATGACTTGTTCTTGTTCATTTTGATTTATTAGTTTTCAACCCTAACATTTTTACCATTAAAAAAATCATGGTCATGTTTTACACTGTAGTTATACAAAGCTTAAAATATTTTGAGGAGGAATATATTCTGAGGAGTTTTTTTTTTTTAAATGCAACAAAAAAAGCATATGTTTTATGCTAAGTTTTATAAGAGCTTTCATATATACAGTAATGCTGTCACATATCTAGAAACACATTAACTGTACTATTTTATTCTGTTGTTACTTGAATTGTAAGAATATGCCCCACATACAAACAGCTTTATACCTGCGTCCAGGTTTAAGGAGGTCTGATGAACTGGGACTTTTCTCCACTGTAAGTTGCAGGGAGGGGCAATACCCAGCATGCACCACTCTACAATGTAATCACATGTGGCGACAGAGTCCCTCATCCAGGTGAGCTGAAATTCCTTTCCATTACCCATAATCCTCTTCTCCTTCGGTATGTCTGCAGCAGTACCAACATTCAGTTATCTCACGTTATACAGAAGCCCCTTGAACACTGAGCATTAAGCTTGTCACCTGTGTATGCTGGAGGAATAGTGATGTGGGATGGTATAGATAAGCCAGATTGAGTGACGGCCCTCACGGTGATGTTACACATGTGAACATCTAAGGGTAGTTCCGTCTGTTTCTGCGTGACATTCATGCACACGCTCCTCTGTGGATTTCTGTTGCTCACACACACCTCATAGGCTTCGATATACGACGAGTCGCTGCTGACCTGAGGAACAGATTTGCTTGTACTTGTAAAAAAAAAAATCTGATATATTTTTAAATGCATTTCAAAATATAAAAGAAAGGAAAAATATATATTGCCAATACAGCTGCAATGCACTTCAGCCAATAACATTAACTGTACCAAGCATGATATAAAGTACCATGCAGGGTGGAAATTCTTAAGAAGTATGAATAAATTTGAATAATATTGAATATGTAAACTTACATTTTTCCACAGAAGTGTGACGGTGCGATTGGGATCGTCCCTGATTCGTCTCCACAGATCTATGGTCACTAGAGGCTCTGAAACACAAAATAACTTGGAACTATAAATTTGCATGTTCTCGCTGTGCAGAATTCACAGCAACAGTGTGTCGTGGGTGTTTGCTACGGCATTGCTATTCGCTTGCTACTGTGTTCTTAGTGTTTTTAGTGTGTTGCTGTGTGCTTTCTGAGGCGTTCTTACTTACTTTCACAAGTCAAAAGCGCCTCTGTGATTTTCTGATGTTATAGTGAGGGCTTATTGACGACTGTCGCACAAACAGTGTGGGATGAATTATGTGCCAAATTTTTTAAATATTACATGTTTGAAAAATGTCTAACCTTCGGTGTGAGCAATAGAAATGGTCATGCATATACAGCATTACTTAGATCAAGGTTTTTCAAACTTCCTGACAACAAACCCCCCGAATATGATGATTCCCTTGCAAAGGACACCCGTTCTATATCTATATATACTGTACGTATAAAGAAACATAAAGACGGTATATTTTAAATATTGATTTATTGGCATTTTGAACTAAGCACTATGAATGAAGGCCAGTATCACTGATATCAGTACTGATACTGATGTCTCTATTAAATGTTTTTTTTCCCCTCAATTTCTGCAGATGAAATGAGTTATTATAACCATTCAACATTACAGTATAATTGAAAGCCATAATTTTTAACATTTAATAAGCTTAAAAAATATAGCAACTACTTCACATGAAGCCATTATAATAAATGTCACATTTAGCTGCGCGTTTAATGTTGTGTATATAGTAATATAGTGAAGTTTCTATCTCGGTCGGAAAAACCGAATGCTGCTTTAATTGCATTAAATATTCTTTATTTATTTAGTTATTTATTAGTGCTGTCAAATCAATTAATCACTTCTAACATAAGTTTGTCAATATGTATGTGTTGTGTGTATATATATATATATATATATATATATATATATGTGTGTGTGTGTGTGTGTGTGTGTGTGTCTACAGTACATACATACACACACACATATACATATACAATATATATATATACACATATAGGTATATACAGCGGTTAGGTTTTGGTAGTCAACCAGAATGCCTATAACCGCACGCACGCACGCACGCGCACGCACGCACACACACACACACACACACACACACACACACACACACACACACACACACACACACACACACACACACACACACACACACACACACACACACACACACACACACACACACACACACACACACACACACACACACACACACACACACACACACACACACACTGGACCCGACTGTGAAAACCCCTTAGTTCCCTATCTATCATTAGTGATGATTCTCCCATGACTTTACCTGTGATGAATGGCCTTTGTCGTGTCCATCGCCCCCAGTCGTTCCCCTGAACTGCACAGCGTCCCCTAGTGGAGTAGCGTGTGCTGGGCTTCAGGTGCTGTAGTCTGAATGTGTAATTCTGCATCGAGTCAGATCCATTCTTATCTAACTCCTGTAAGACAACAAAACAGGACGTGTCTCAACATTTCTCTTAAGTTCATTTACTTTATCAGATGTGGTGAGTCTGGTTTCACGAGAGGTTAATAGATCTTTTGAAACTCCCTCTTGACGTATTTCAGAAGCCACGACATTATTTCGAAACATAAAGACACAAAAACATGTTGTGAAACAAGAAAAAAAAAGTGATAGCTTGATTCATATGGATTTGAATCAAGCTGAAGAACAAAAGTCTTATGGGTTTGGAATGACATGAGGGCGAGTAATTGATGACAGAATTTGCATTTTTAGGTGAACTATCCCTTTAATGTGATGCATTACCTGTATTCTCCCTCTTGGTTCAATTTCAATCTGGCAACTCAAAAGAAGTCCTTTGAAACTCCCATTCAGCTGTAAGACCACCACTGAGTCCAACACACCTGCAGCCACGTCAAGACGCACAGGGACTGGGAAAACTAATGCGAGATTGAATGGTTAAGAAATTAAAGAGGTGATCCCAACATCTTGACATTTTCCCTATCAAAGCAATGTGAAATTCACTGCAACCTGAGGTAAAGCATCTAGGGTACAATTGTGATGGTTCACATGAGATTTCATCTTACAACCCTTTGTTTATCTGACCCAGATCTTTAAGCTAGTCCACCTCACTGCGCTGTGTGAGCCCTCAAAGCTGCTAACTCTGCTGTATGAATTTTAGTCTTCACTTCCATATCCATATTCACCTCTGTCTGTGATATTGAATATGTACGTCTCGCTCTCTCGCCCCAAACTGTTTGTCACAAGTAAGGTGATGTTGTAGTGGATCTGCTGTGGAACGACTTCAAAACTGCAGGCTGCAGAATTTGATTCAGGATTACAGCTGACGGCCCTGGAGTCACTGAACAGGAGAAATGCAGTCAAAGTAAGTTTTATTCAACTCGTAATGAGTCAAATCTAAAATTAGTGTGAATTTGGCCCTGCCGAACACGGTTAAAGGGATTGTGTTCACCCAGAAATGACAATTCGTTCATCATTTACTTACACTTGCGTCATTTCAAACCTGTATGACTTTCTTATGGACACACAAGATATTTTGAAAAATCTGTCCAAGTCAATGTTGTTTGAACCCTAAACGTTCTTCAATGTTGAAGCAATACCAGTTTGGAATGACATTGGTGAGTTAATGTATGTCAGAATTTCCATTTTAGGGTGGACTGTCCCTTTAAGAGCATAAATGAATGTCTTGTGGTGTTGTGGTGAACCACTACAGAGCTTAGCATAAGTGAATACACCCGTGCTAAAGTTGACTAAAAAGTGGAATAAAAAATAATCTTTTGGAAATTGATCTTAATGCCTTAATTAAAAAATGCCTTAATTTCTTTGTGAATGAATAATATATCGTATATAAATAAATGTTCTTCCTTAAAATACAGGGGGATGATTTTTTTATTCCTCTTTTTAGTCAACTTTAGCATGGGTGTATTCATTTATGCTAAGCACCGTATATCTGTTTTATCTTTTTTATCTTTAAAGCCTTATTAGGTAGGCGTTTCAGTTTCGCTTTGAAATGAAATTCCACTGGTTAATTTCCACTGAAAATCACCAGATATCGCAGATAACCTTACAAGGACAGAGATACTACACTGTGTTCTTAAGTAGTGATCAAATCAGACTAACTTGATCAGTAATGTGTAGTTGCTTCTCTGCGGGCCGTGTAGATTAGGAGCTCTGCGTGTTTTCCACGAGCAGGAGACGTTTCGCTTGTCTGCGGTCTCGCATCTGAAGTCCTCAGGTTTCTCAGGAGGAACTGAACAAGGTTAAGCAGAAATTAAAATCTCTAATCAGAAAACCATCATGATTAAAAGCATTGCATTTTTTGTTTCTTAATTAAGTTCAGTTTTACTCGTTTATTTTGCATAACGCTTTTCACAAAACATTTTGTTTCAAAGCAGCTTTACAAAAAAAAATGCTCGTTTCAATGTTACAGTTGTCTTCAGTCTTAAATATTTTTATATTTTATTTAGTGGAAAAATATTTATTTCAAAAGTGTGCTTGTGCTGCCTTTCTTAAAAAACAATTGGTTTTAAATTTTATTATCTAATGCAGTGACGTTCAGAAATAATTATCACATTTCAAACTACCAAAGGATAACTTAAAATTATTTAAATTAAGTGTTATATATATATAGACATATTTACAGTACATTTAATATTCAACAATATTTTTGATCTGCCTTACTTGGTGGACGTTGATGCAATTTTCTTCTAGAAACCAACTTTGTTGTATTATTTTCATGTTATCACTGTGAAGCTGCTTTGATACAATCTGTATTGTAAAAAGCGCTATATAAATAAAGGTGACTTGACTACATTTTTAAGGACCCCCTAAAAAGATATGAGTTGGGAGGAAAAAATATATGCTTTCGATGGTAAAATGTTTGCGTTCCCCCGAGAAACTTTTCTGTTCTTTGCGAGCGAACACAAAGTTTCTGAATGGAACTAAAAATATTTGTGAGAGGATGCAAAAGCATTGACAAATAATTTTTCCTCCCATCTCATATTTTTTTCCTTCACCATGCCCTTTAAAGACGAGTACATTTTCATTCATTAAAACAATATAACGTAATTAGTGCTAAAAATATATAATAAAAAAAAATGTAACCTAAAATCATTTTTCTCTTTTTTTATTATTAAAGAACGTGTTCTTGGAACTTCGGGAATCACAAAATGAATTGTGGTTTATTCAATTAAAGCAGAACTAAGTAGGAATTCCGTTTTTGTCAAACAGCGACCCCTAGAGTCGCTGTGAAGTACTTGTACTGTCGTGAATAGCACTCACGCAGAGATGGCTCGCACTCACGGCCGGATCCCCTCCCCCTGTACACCGGTACCTGTTCAGTAGGATGGACGCTGTAACGAGTGGAAATAAGGTATGGCCCCTTTAAGAGCTGTGCGCGCCCAACACCACATGTATACGGCGCCAGGTTATTTCTGTTTGATGCTCATTTTATCAGAATTTTATCAGATCTGTTTTTTGCTGTAAAGCAATTCGTTACCTTGCGAGACCTGATATCACACGATACTTCCTAACACTGAGGCCGCCGGCCCAAAGTTGCAAGGGTGGTTTTGCGGCTCACAGGCACCAGGGGGGTGCGAGACGACCACCATTCAACACGAAATCAGTAATATAAACATTACAATGACTCCAAAGCTTTTCGGTTAAGGTAAAAAAGTTACTTAGTTTACCTTTAATATACTACGGAGCGCCTAAAGGGACATGATGGTGAAAAAAAGAAACTATAATAAGTCAATGCTTTTACGTTCCCCCAAGAAACGTTGCGTTCACATTGGCGAGAGAATGCAGAAGCATTGACAAATAATTCCTCCATCTCATATTTTTTTGCTTCACCATGTCCCATTAGGGGTTCCGTAACATACTGAGGTGAATTAAGTTATAAATATTAAGAAAAAAAAGTTCTAAATATTAAAATAGTTTAAAACTAGCATCTTTGTAGTAATTACTGCAGAAACAGCGTAAGAAATATTTTAGCCTGTACTGTATATGAGGCCATTTGAAAATGATGTTGGACAGTTCAACTCACAGGTGACGTAGTTCACTGCTACATCTTTACGGTCCATACTGGTATAGAAGTTGACACCGTAACTATTAGTGGCTTTGATGTTTTCCACTCTAATGGCTTTGACCTGTGGGCTTATGTTGATGACTGTGTAGGGGGTGTTGCCGAAGAACATAGAGGTGATATGTGTCTCTGTGGGATAAATGCAGCAGAACATCACCGTGGAACCGTCCCGTAACACCTGCCCATCTGGGAACAGCCGGATTTCATTGTGAGTCAAGTTCATCTCCCCTATAAGAAAATGAGTGGATAAATATGTTCATAGCACCATCCAAACACTCCACAAATTTAAACAGTGGTGTTTGCATGTTCAGAAATTGTCGCCACAATGCTATGGTCACGTGATTTGATGTCAGGGCGTTGGTGTTTTTAGCATATTTTCTATGTTGTTACTGTAGTAAATGTGATGTATTATTTTGTAAGCGTTCATCTTCGGAACACAAATGAAGATCTTTTTGATGAAATCTGAGAGTTTTCAGTCCTTCCATTGACAGCTACACAACTGACACTTTCAAGCCCCATAAAGGTATTAACATCATTAAAGTAATCTGTGACTCCAGTGGTTTATCCTCAATTTTATGAAGTGATACAAGTGCTTGGTTTGTGCAAACATAATTTACCACTTTATTTACAAAATATTAATCTCCAACGCACGTTCACACAGCAACGTCGAGTCAACACAACACGCATGCGTCGTGATGCTCTCGTGAATGCACGTTTGGAGATTAATATTTAGTAAATAAAGTGGTAAATTATGGGGGGTTTTGAGCAAACAAAACTTGAGGTTAAACCACTGGAGTCACATTACTTTAATGATGTTAATACCTTTCTGGAGCTTAAAAGTGTCAGTTGTGTAGCTGTCAATGGAGGGACTGAAATCTCTCAGATTTCATCAATAAGATCTTCATTTGTGTTCCGAAGATGAACAAAAGTCTTACAGGTTTGGAACGACATGAGGATGATTAATGACAGAATTTATTTTCGCTAGCCCTTTAACTTCCTCTTTTAACCCATGACTGTCCAGACTTTAAACATGCCTGTTATGTGCCTCTCAACTGTCACTGATGAGTGTGCACTTCTGAGAGCATGTTGGTCAACCAGCCACACCAGCTAAATGATACCAGTCTAACTTGGTCCAGTAATGTGTGTACAATGATACTCTACAGAGAAAATGCCATATGGAATGATTTCATAAATGCGAAAGAGCAGCAGAGGAAGATGCTTATATCATTTACTCACCCTCAAGATTATGAGGAAACATGAATTTAAAAAAAATTATGATGTGCACAGATAAATCATTTATAATAAATACTGCAATATTCTTTAAAAAATAAAAATTGCCCCGTGACTTTAATGTCAAAGTGCCTTCCAATATAGATCACATTTAAATGTGTAAAAATGAAATAGTGGAAATATACTTATCATACATAAATTAGTATTTTTTACACATTATATGGACTTGTGTGGAATAAAAATATGGACGGAATAATATATATATATATATATATATATATATATATACACGGACAGTGGGATCCAAATTTTGGTTATTTTTAGAATTAACAATTTTACTGAAAAGTTGAATTAAATTAATTAAATGAATGTGTGTGAATGCCTCAATATTTTGTTTGTCTCTTTTGCATTTTTGACAGCAGATCTTATATTTGCCAAGTTGTCCTAGGCTTTTGGACCCAACTACATTTTTATGGAGTTCTTCTTGGTCATGTACTTTTGAAATGAACTTTAAATGCCTACCGTAGTTGGTTTTCCATAAACTCCAAGAGCTGGATGGTAAATCATCAGAGATGAGCCTTATTCTGACAGAGTGATCAACACAGTTCAGCGGGAGCTGCGAGGTCCAAACCATGTCCAGTGATCCTCTGCTAACATTGATCTGTGAATAGACTGTAAACCATCAGTGCAAAACACAAATATGAGGACATAATGTGAGGAATGATGAGTTTCACGCACGCTGTCGACAATATCCATGTTTGTTGTGCGTCCAACTTGTATTTCATAAACTTGTATTTGATTTCTGCGTTCTTCTTTCTGATTCATTGTCCACTCCATCTCCAGCGTCCACATGTCCAAAGCCTGAAGTTTAATAATGGTCGGCACAGAGACGGCATCTGTGGGAAAATGATTTAGGTATTGTAAACCTCTAGGGGAAATGCTTTTATACATTACAGAAAAAGAATGACCAATGAACTTGAGGCAAAACTTATTCTGATTTATATCTGACCTGAAGAAGAATTCCAGCCTTTAGCATTTTCAACCAGGATGACAATTGAAAGCAACTTTGTCCAGCGGAGAATCATTTTGGTGGATGTAAAGTCGTACAGCTTTCTGCTCTGTGATTCTGTGGAAGTGTAGGAGGTGTTATGAACCGTTATATTTCTCCTCCTACTGCTGCCTTCCGTTTGAGGTTAAAGACATAATGACTTCAGCATTAAGATTTATTGCCTGTGAATCATGAACTGAAGTCAAGATGAATATATGCTTTGGTGTTATTTTTACTAATTTTCTGGTTCAGAAATCACTATGGACAGAAAGGTACACTGATGATTAACCATGTATATCAGTGTCATGGTTGTTATACTAAAAATCATGAAGCTTAATCAAACTACACATTCTTTATATAAGCACAGAGCTCCATCTACAGGATATAGAAATGCTTCAAATGCTTTTAAAAGACATCTTTTGACAGCAATTCTCTGACACCATAAAATATGTTGTATCATAACATAATTATAACCAAAACATGAGCAACAAATTCACACTGTCAACAATGAATGTTAATATCAAGATTTGGATGTTATTTAAGATTTTTATTACTAATACTAATGCTTAAGAATTTATAAATATCTAACAGTCCTATATAAAATGTATTTTGTAAATAGATTAGATTATAAATGTGTAATTTATACATGTATTTTTGTTAATAAAAAAACCCCATCTAATTACATCTATTTTTAACTTGTCCCCTATATATATATATATATATATATATATATATAAGCATGTACCTGTTTTTACTTTATCTCATTTATTTTGGTTAGGCCTAAAATAAGATTCTGTATTATAACTACACGCTGTGGTCATAGTAAATGTTCACTGTAGTTTTGTTTGTCGTACAATTTGGTGTTGGTTCAGTGGTTCTTCGCCCACGTCATGAAGCCGCCCACGCTCCCCTGGCCCGTCCCATCTCCGTCCTGCGTCCAGCACGCTTGCTGAATAAATCCCTGGAAAAAGTAAAGAAGAGGATCCAACTGCAGAACCACTGAACACTGAGCAGAATAGGCGTGGCATGGCGAACTGAACGTTGCATCTGATTGGTCAGGTATGTTGTTGCTTAATAATAATTATCCACTTTTTCCTCTTCACTGTGCATTTTTAACTTATTGGCTATAAAATGTTCTCTATATCATGCTTCATGTAAAAAAAAATATTATCCGTACTACTGCTGAAGAAACACACTGATAACGTTGTCACATGGTACCTGTTACTTTTCTCAGCGCTGGTCGAGATGGACTAACCACAGTCGTTTGTGGTGATCAAGAACTAATCAAAGTCGTTTGTGATGATCAAGAATGCGGTTTAATCATTTTTACAGAGATTACCGAGTTGGATATCCATATATGTGTCCGGTACTAATTAGTGAATATAACGGTTTAAATCTAGTAATTCCACGGTCATACAAATGACGTACAAAAGACGAAAACATGCTGCGAATCTTGAGCCAACATTCGCCCCCTGGAGGAAGACAGTGTTTGTCTCATAATAAACGCTTGGTAGAACCGATCCGATCCAGTTCGTATTCTGGAGCCATTTGGGAATGGGAATCCGGTTCTGTTCCCCCAGTTCCGACAACCGACACCCGTCTGGAAGGCCATGCGCTGCCATTAACCCAAACACACCAGATCGGATAGGAGTCGAAATTTTTATGGATATAACCGAGTGATTTCGAAGACATTGGATACTAAAAACATCAAGGTAACTTAACAGTTTGGGTAGCACTACATGTATGTTTTTTAACGTTAGAAATCCCTCTGTTTATCTGTATTAACTCGTGACGTTTGCTTTTTTGTTTGATTAATATAACGAGTTAAAATAGAAGTCTTATTGACATATCGAAATGTTTCGCTGTGAAATTAATAACGTAACGTTAACGTACTTATAAGATTAGTTAGAGAGGAATTGTGGTTATAACGTTAACTTACTCGACATGACCATTCCGTTAAAGGCATTTGAATTTTGCTTATTTGTTAGTTTTTATAACCAAATGAGGTGAATTCAAGGATATATTCGTTTAAAGGTCCTGGTTTGGTTGGTTAAAATGGTTATGTATTTTCGTGTTGTTTTCTTTCCTGGACCGTTTTGGTGTGGTTTATTGTAAACAATATTTTCGGGCGTTGCTTTATCAGTTTATATTTTAACCCAGAATACTTTGTATCGTCCATGTTATCAAGTGATATGTGCTACTATACATCAATTTGTATTTTTAAGCATTTTCATCAAATTATCAGATGTAATACCATGGTGCTTTATTATGTAAGTTACTATTACTGAATTATTGCTGTATTTAAGTGGTACTACAAGGTAATTCGTGGATGATAGTACTATTGTACTTTCTATTAGTGCATGTAAAGTGAGACTCGTGTTTAAAAAAAATACTATATACTGGTTACCAGTACAATGTGATAATTTGATAGCAGTGTTGTGAATGTGACCATACAATGGAAGGTTATATTGTAAATCAACAATTACAGGACAATATCCACTAATGATACACCTTGTACCATTGCTTGTGTTGACTGTATGAATCAGTGAGTAAGTTATTGCACAACAGAATTTTGTACATATGAGGTCCTTTGAACTATAAGTAAACCGAAGCAGCAGTCCGTAATTAGCTGAATTGGAGTCTTGATCTTGTGGTCTTGGCCTTGAGACCTAAATATTCTGTCGTGGTTTACTTAAGAAGATGGAGATATAGGCAGAATACTGACAGACTCAGTCAACAATCACTTTCATTGCTTTTTTTTTCTATACAATGAATTGAATGGTGACTGAAGCTGTCATTATAAGCCAAACATTTTTTGAACGAAATGAGAACAATGACATGATTTCATTTTCATGTGGACCGTCCCTGTAATCTAATGTCTGATGAGATCTCATCTGTCGAGTCACTGTCTCACAACAAATTGAAAGTGTCTTTTATTTTAGTACACAGATGTTTAATAAACTTATCATGGATGTTTAATATTTAGGCCTAGGCCTACTTTATGTTGGGTTAGGTGGCCCTCAGAATTTGGGTCACCTTCAGTTAGGTCTGCTCAATTATGGCCAAAAATCAGAATCATAATTATTTTTGGTCAATATTGATATCACGATTTTGTAACATGATTATTGGTTGGTGATATGTTCAAAGCCCTTTTTCACGATATGAGTGATCTTAAATATCAGTGAAATTTCACAATTATTGAAACTTCAGGAAAAAAAAATACTGGGTTAATATGATGTAAAAAAAAAAAAAAGGTCCTCAAAATAATTACATAAGACAAGTTAACAGTCAGCAATAGAATAAGAACAAAGGCACTAGCCTAATTACAAACAAAACGGACAAATAAATACAACAACACAAAAATACAAGTTAAATAGTTTTAAACAGTGGTATTCAGATATTCTGTAAGCCTAGAAAAACATTGAATAATCAAATGTAAAATAACACTAATAAACTTACTGTACACATTAAATATAGTTTTATCCTTATTAAAGCTACTTGCGTTATTCAGCCACGATCAGTGAGTGATTTTCCTTTGTCTTTAGTTGTTTGATTATCATTAGACAGACTACAGCAGGTTTATTAGGCTGCTGTCACTTTAAGAGCTAATGAACAGATCCAACATACTGTTACACACGCGTTTTCTTCCTTAACTGTGTAAGTTTACTTTAGACATCATCACCCATGTGAGTACTTGCCAAAAAGGTATTTTGACATCTTTGTGAAGCACATTAGCTTATCCGTGTTCAGCTCTGACTCGAGCGCGCACACAGAACGCCTCCTGGGGAACAGTGTCTCTTTTGCGGCTTAATGTTGTTTTAACAGCACTGTTTTATATTAAACACGTCCCGCAGTTTAGCAACAACTCCTTTTTTTACAACACACTTATTTGGGGGATTTGGATTTTAAGTTTGGGCTTTTACGGAGGACCGAAAGCGTACCGCCGTGAAGGAAAGGAAGGTTTACCTCGATTATCTTGTTTTCATACACACTAAAAGATTCTGGGTTATTTTTCAACCCAACCAGTGGGTTTAAAACTTTAATAATAAAAAATGTAAATCAACGGTCGGGTTTGTTCAAATTTGACCCAAACGTGGGTTGAAACAACCCAGCATTTTTATAGAGTGTAGTTATTGAAGCCAAAATCAATTATGATTAATGGCACAGCCGTACCCTCAGTGTTATTTTACTATTATTTATATACTTTCATAGTATTTATAAATATTTTGTCTTAGCTTTTATTTTTATATTTTAAGTTTTCATTTTAAGTTTTTGTAATTAATTTTTTTTTTGTCCTTTTGTTTTTTTTGTATTGGCTTTAATTTATTTATTCTAGTTTTTGTAATTTATTTCTTTATTTCCAATTCATTTTATTTCAGTTAGTTACCAAAGCAGCATTTCTAATTTTAAGTTGTTTATGTTTTCCATCTAATATTTATAGGTTTTTTTTTGTTGTTTTTTTGTTTTTGTTTTGTTAATGAAACTCCTCTGGTCACCCTTATAATGTGTCTGTTCCAAGTCAAATGTGGTAAACTATGAAACTGCAACTTTCCCCCCAGAGGTTTGGATGTCTTATTATGAATCAGTGCGACTCATTCAGGCGTGTAGTTTTGTGTGATGTAAGTGGAAGGAAGCCATTAGAGCACACTGCTCTGGACAGATTATCATTGTTCTCAGCATGTGTAAATGCGCTGGGTGGGAAAGAGAGGAATTTGTGTCTATTCATGGTGCAGAAAAAATAAACGAAAATGATGTCATGTAAGAATTCTGTCAGATCTTTCATGGATTCCAGAGGAATGATCTGAGATCAGACTCAGTAGTTCCTGCAAACTATTGGAAACTGCT